TTACAAAATTCTTTTACATTAATTCACTAAACCCATACAATAACCCAATAAAGAAGACGGGGCAAATAACAGACAGAGGTTAACTTGCCTGAAATCTGCAGAGCAAGTAAGGAGACAGCACTTGAGTCTCAGTTCTACCCTGGGCCGGGCTTCCTATCATTGTGGGGTTCGGGGGAGTCATCCTACCAGCCATGCTTATGCAAAAGGCTGTGTCCCAGTACTAGCACCGATCCGGTAGGCCAGCATGGACCAGCTCTGGCTGCTTTTTTCTGACTTACGCCCGGAAGTGTAACTGCTGGTGGCAGAACCAGGCCCCTGAGTCAGCTCTTCTCTTAACCCAGCGCTTAGTCATATGTTCCAGTGTTGTTTCCAGCGATTAAGAGAGCAGTGCCAACTCACCACCATCCGTTCTGCAACATAGTTCAATAACAATATTCCTGTTGACTCTCACAGCTAAGATAGCAGAGCACATCAGCATCCTCCCAAATCCTTAAGAAAGTTAAGAAAACGAGTTGGCCCCAAGCCTTCACCAGGACTACAGATAGGAATGGCACTGAGAGCAAAGCCAGGTTAAATCAGTACAACGAGACACACTAACTAGATGTCCCTTATCTGTGGAAACCATTTTAACCACCTCTCTCAAACTTCTCATAGGTCCTATGTTCATAGAAACTTGAACACTCATTGAATGAGAAAAAGCATGCCTATTTCTGCAATGTCTGAGGTAGTTAGTTTCGTCTGTCAAAACTGGGCAAAGATAGCACTCTATGGAAGCCAAATAATGTGGGGTAGGAAAAAAATGTTAACTTCTGAGGCTCAAACTTTCACATCTAGAGCTGAGATGCTGAAGTCATTGGATGTTCAAGTCATTTAAGTTATTACTGCCCTTGATGTGGCCCTCTGCACATCACGCAATCTTTTGATTCCTTAGTTTCTTGTTGCCCCCCACTTTTTGCAGTTGTCATCGAGGCTACTAATTTGCATAAATCCCCATCCTTGGGTCTTAGATCTGGTTGCGGGTGTTGGGCTCCAGGGTACATCTTCGCTCCACCATAGCCTTGCAGCAATTTGCAGTGTGTCCCTGAAATCTTTCCTTTCCTAGATTGGACGGCTCCGGGTCCTTCAGCCCATCATCTGGAGACCCTCTTCACCCTGTGTTGCTTGGGACCCAAAGCAGATATTGTCAAAGCTCTGTCCCCAGTTAACTTTCTCACCTTGTTACACTGTGAGACTCACACAGCTGCAAAAATTGCTCCCGAAAAGAGTACAAGCCAGGCTAATTGGTGGCCCATCAAAAGCTGTTGTCTGGCCATTTTCCTGTAAGATAGTGGGCTAATGTGGGACTATTTTATACATTAAGATTCTGCCATGTTAATAAATTTACTGCTAAAATGTTACGTGCTGTGTCATGGACAGGATCTTTTTTTTCCTCTTTAACTTTTCATATGAACTAGAATAATATTGGTTCTTTTTCTGGTGTGTGTTTCCTAAACTTTACACAAATGGGTCAAGTTTATAGCATAGCCCGCCATGAAGATTAAAGGACTTTGGTTTTCTATAGTAAATTATTTGGAGGAAAGACACATAAATTCCAGGACAGTTGTGGAGCCTAAGTGGTTAGGACTAATAACCACAGTGGAAGGAAAGTTACTTTGATGTGATATTACCAGTTTCTTCATATGAGACAATGCATTTTTTTAGAGGATGGGAAAAGGTTGAGTGAAATTTTAAAAAACAACTTTGTCACTGAGATGAGTTTTACAGGGAGAGGTAAGGCAGCTGAGCTCTCTCTCAGCTCTGTATGGTTGATGATGCAGCTTTAGGTAAGTCACTCATCTCTCTGCCTCAGTTTCCTTATCTACCAAATAAGAGCATCACCCTCAGTAATCAGAGCTTCCGTCAAACTCTTACACTGTGGCAGTGGTTCTGGCCTTTTTTTCTCCAGATAGACACATGCATATGGGATCATGCTCCTCTCTCTGGAGCTGTGTCATGTGTGTGGCGGTGTTGCTTTTGTTTTAACGTAGCAGAATACATAAAATAGGATGTATGTTATGCATAATTCCAGTTTTAACCACCTCTCCCCTTCACCCCAGTGACTACACTTTTACATCCAGAACTGCAGCTCTGGGGAACCTGCACAACTATGGGCTGTGTGCCACCTGGAAGATATTTTTAAATTTAAAATGCGTCCTTTTAAATAAAATAAAACATTAATATACTTCTGTTCATAAGCTTGGGGGGTGGTTAAATTATATATTCTGATGATTATGTTCTTTCTCCCAAATCTGCTTCTATAGTTCCACCAAAATGAAAAAACAACCCCCTGCAAACCTTGCCCTTCAAAAAGTCTTCAGAAAGCAGAGCCCCTTGCTTTCTGGACATCCCGGTCACTCCAAAAAGCAGGGGCCCTGTTTGTCCTGTGGCTGCCTTCGGTGCGGTCCCAGAAAGGTCCACGGTGACAAGGTTTGCCGAGGGGCTGACTGTACCGTGACTTCTTGGAATTGAAAAGGAAAGCCGTTTGGGTTCCTAAAAGAGAAACGACTGGTCCCATAACAGAGTCCAAGTTATCACCTCGAAGCCCCTCTTAATGACAATGAGATCCATGTAGATGCCGAGCCAGACAACCACGCGCCTGTGTCTGTCTAAAGGACCAGTGTCCTCTCAGAGCAGTTCTCTCAGTCACTGCAGGTAAAAAGCAGCTCTCCTGCCTGTCAGGAACAAGACTATTAGATCAGTGAGCAGCACGCCACCCACCCCTCCAAGAGGCTTCCCCCTTCCTGTCCGAGACAGATGCCACCGAAATGGCACCTGCTAGCATCCACGTGAATCTCAGGCTCTGATGGTGACAGGCTCTCCAGCTCGCCCGTCGATTGCAGTGCCGCACACCGAGTGTCGGCGGTTGGCAAAGCACACAGCAACACCAGAATCAAATAAAAACGGAGCTGCACAGGGGTTCGCATGGCCCGTCTGGCCACTTGCTCTGGGAAGGGACTCAGCGGCAACTATTAGATAAGCAGGTTTGGGCCCCACATCAAGGGCTTTACCACAGGAAGAAAGACCTAGAAGGGCAAGTTAAGTTGACAAGGCTTTATGTCAAAGACCCAGATAGCTATCATCTGGGTCTCCCCTGTCCCTTGAGATCTGAATAAGCTTGGCTTCAAATTCCAGTCTGTGGAAATCTGAATTCTAGGACTTCCTGGGGACGTTGGGTCTCTGCCTCCGCTCTTGCTTCTGTCCCTGGTTACCTTAGCTCTGCAGTTTGTCGGGTGGTCTATGACAAAGTATGTGTGAGCATGGTAGGCCTTACAGAAAGCTGGTGCCATTGAGGAGAATCACACTTCCTGTCCCATATGGTTTACTTAACAGACCCTGCGAGACTCTTGTTCTCTTGGCCTTGTGCTCAGGGTGTGGTCAGAGGAACCTGGGTACTTGTTAGAAATGCAGAACCATGAACCCCACACCAGGCTTGCTAAGTCAGAATCTAGAAGTTTGCGCGATATTGGAAGATCTGGTTCATTACAGTGTGAGGGGCACAGACCTGAAGTCCTTTTCTGTTACCTCTTCGTGGGCAGCATGTCTATGCCCTGGCCCTCGCTCTCTGCATACTCAGTCTCTCTTCTCTTTCTTTCCCCTCCCTCCTCTCTCTCTCTCTCTCTCTCTTTCTCTCTCTCTCGTTCTCTCATCACCTCCCTCCCTGTCAGGAACCACAAACAAACTCTGTGTCATGACAGAGCAGCCCCTTCTCTGGAGCCTCAGAGCCAGTCACCATGTGGGCGCCGAAGACCTCACCTTCACCAGCCCTCAACCTTGACCCCAACCTTAATAAAGTATTTGTCTAAACAAGGTCCCTTTCTGAAAAGGACTCTGATACCAGCCACTTTGATAAAAGAAATCTCTCCATCTTGTTACAAAAGATACCCCCGGTTTTATAAAGATGTCTGGTTTCCAGACAGACCCCTGAATCAATTCAGGATTCTAAGCTATTGTGTGTAAGACCTGCGAGAACTGAGTCTTCCACAGAAAAATGACTCACTCAAGGTCATTTTGCAGTTATTGGCAGAGGCAGGACCAGAAAAGTTCTTAAACTTCCCAGCACTGGCTTCTCTCCACTGCCCCCCAATCATTCTACTTTAACTGACCCTTTACGTGGCTACTGGGTTCTCTTGCTGTGTGGTAACTAAACCATCTGGGCAGCAAGTACATTTTGAATGCCTGCTGTTCCAGGATCAGGAGAGGCAAAGCAGGGCCCAGTTTCTCCAAACTGGACACTATCTGAGGTGTTTGTGAATTTTACTCCAAAGACTTTTTCAAAGTCTTCCGACCTTCTGCACCTCATCCACAAAAATGGTAGGTTTGACTCATTACCAGAGCTCTCGACAGCATGGTTGCATGCAGCTCACGAGTGTGTTATAATCAGTTGTGAGGTCTTTGTAATTTTTTCCATATAATTGTTAAGATCTGCTAGTGGTCTTTTTTTCCCTAAGTATTTTATTTATTTATTTTTAAAGAGAGGGAAAGAAAGGGAGAGAAATATCGATGCTTGAAAGAAATATACATCGATTGCCTCTCACACGCTCCCTACAGGGGACCTGGCCCACAACCCAGGCATGTGGCCTGACTGGGAATTGAACCGGTGCCAGTGGTCTTTTTAATAGAGAAAATGAAAGGCTTCCTTATGGTCGTCATCCTCAGTTACATTCTGAGGTGCTTTCTGGAGTAGGAGAAAGGGCTTGGGGACACACACCTTAGGGCCATGTTATGTCTCTCACAGAGTTCCCTGGTTATCTGTCATATGTGCCTCAACAAGCTGACCTAGAAGATTCTTTCAGCTCTATCATCTTATGAGTTATAAAGCTCAAGACTGTTCTCAAAAATGTGAATTTCCAAATCTTGTGTGATATGGTAGCTCCTCTTAGAGTTTATATCTCACTCAGGAGCCCTTGAGTGGGTAACACTCTTTTAATTTTTTTTCCTCTTCCTCCTTGGCTTTGCTTCAGGAAGCGAGAGGAAGAAAACAAGCGAAGAGAGGCAGAACAGCAGAAGGGAAGGCTGAGTCCCGATTCCTGCAGGCCCCAAGCCCTTCCCTGTCCGCCCAGCACCCAGGCTGAGCCCCACAGGCAGAGCGGGGGCCTCAGCAAACAGCCTCCCACCTGCAACACGGCCCAGAGCCCTGAGCGGAGAACCTGCAGAGGGTCTCCAGGCAAAGGGTCTCCAAGCAAAGCCCCCCAGAAGGAGCAGCATATTTCCCCAGACTTGCAGGGAACAGACCCCAGAAAGCCAAACGGTAGGTATATTTATAGCCTTTGCTATCCGATGCCAACCCATGGACTGTGGGCCCTTCTGATTGGTGTATTTAGACCATTTACATGTAAGGTAATTATGTCAGTACTAAAGTCTGCCCTTTTATCATTTATTTTCTATTTCTTTCCTCTGACCCTCACTCCTGTTTCTCTCTTCTTCCCTTCCTGTGGGTTACTCACGCACCCTTTAGGATTCCATCTAAAGGGTGATCGATTGCAGTGTTTTTTAGTGTATCTCTGTAGGTTTGTAGTGGTTGTTCCAAGGATCACAGTAACCGTCAGTGACAGAGTTGTCTCCTAGTATCGGCAACTCACCGCTCTGGGTGAAATGCGGAAACCTCACTTCCACTTGGGCTCCTTTACCTTTCCCATGCTTAAATATCTTTGCTTGGTAGCAGGTGGTCTTACAATTTTTCTTTCAATCATCTAGTATAATTTATAAAATTCATGAAAGGAAAAGGATAGTCAAATTTATGTACCCATATTTTTTCTGTTGTTTTGTCTTTCTTCCTGGTGCTTCAAATTCCTTCACTTAACATTTCCTTTCTGTTTGAAGAACTTTCTTTTTTTTTCTTTTTTTAAATTTTTTATTTTTAAATCATGTTGATTCTAGTACAGTTGTCTCCGTTTTTCCCCTTTGCCGTCCTCCACCCATCCCACCCCGCCCCTCTCTCCCACCATGAATTTCCGCTCTGTCGTCCATGTCCATGGGTCATTCATACATGTTCTTTGTTTAGTCCCTTCTTCTTTCCACCTTTGTCTTCCTTCCCCATCCCCTCTGGTCATTCTCAGTCTGCTCCACGTTTCTGTGCTTGTGGTTTATTTCGTTTGTTTATTTTGTTGAATAGATTCCACTTATAGGTGAGATCATATGATACTTGTCTTTCACCAACTGCCTTCTTTCACTTAGCATAATATTCTCCACTTCCATCTATGTTGTCGCAAAAGGTAGGAGTTCCTTCTTTCTTTTTTCTTTTTAAATGCAGATTGATTTTATTTCTTTATTTTTTTAAATGTCAAGATCCATTATAAAATATTTAAAAATTTAAATCTATTATAAAGTCTCAGCAATTAAAGCAGGATGACACCAGTACAGAAATAATCAAGTAGATCAATGAAATAAAATGAGCCTTCTAGAAACAAACATATATAACTGTCTAACAATGTAATATATGATTAAATCGATATTTCAAATAATGGGGAAAATAAGGCTTCTTCAACAAATAAGGTGCATGGACCACTATTACTTGAAATAAAACATACAGAGCCCTATTTCACACAGTATACAAAAATGACTCAAGTGAGTTAAAAATCAATATGTAAAATCTTAGAAGTTTTCAGAGAAAATCCAAAATAATATTTTTCTTACCCCAAAGTAACATATTCAAACCCAGAAGCTATAAAGTAAAATATTAACAATATGACTATATTAAACATTTAAGACTATATAAAAATATACATATAAAAAAGGGTTAAAGGCCAAGTAATAGAATAGGTAAGTATTTGCAACACATCTAAAGAAGGGTTAATAGTTTTCTCTTTTTTTAGGGCAAAAATTCTACAAACCTTTAATCAAAAAACGGATAAAGAATACCAAAAAGTCATTTAAAGCCTTTTAAAAATAATAGAAATTGGCAAGAAATATACAAAAACAGGTTTAGTTTCAACAAATAATAAAGTAACAATTAAAATACATCATTGTCACAATCAGATTAATAAGTATTAAAAATATTGGTAATACCAAGTATTGGTGACTGTGAAAGGAACTGGGTATTCATAGACTCTTTTTCTTCATCTTCTTAAGGCAGTCCTTTTAGCGTATGTTGCAATGCTGGTTTGGTGGAGGTGTATTTTTTTAGCCTTCTTTTGTCAGGGAAACCCCTTATTTTGCCTTCCATTTTGATTGAGAGCCTTGCTGGGTAGAGCAGTCTTGGTTGCAGGCCTTTGCTTTTCATGACTTGGAATATTGCCATTCCCTTCTGGCTTGTAGCATTTTTGTTGAGAAGTCAGCTGCTAGCCACACTGGGGCTCCCTTGTATGTTACTACCTCTTTCTCCCTTGCTGCCTTTAGGATTCTCTGTTTGTCTTTGATATTTGCCATTTTAATGATGATGTGCCTTGGAGTGGGCCTCACTGGATTCCTCTTGAATGGGACCTTCTGTGTTTCCTGGACTATGTGACTTTTTCTCTCCTCCAATTAGGAAAGTTTTCCATCGTTACTTTTTCAGACAGGTTCTCTATTCCCTCTTCTTCTCCTTCTTGTACCCCTATTACTATGTTTCAGGTTGTCCTGCATTTCTCTAAACATGTCTTCATTCTTTTTGAGTCTTTTTTCGTTTTCTTGCTCTTTCTGGGAGCTTTTTTCTATCTTGTCCTACAGCTCTCTGATTTGGTCCTCAGCTTCATCTAGCCCGCTTTTGATTCCTTCTACTGTGTTCTTCAATTCAGAAATTGTATTCTTCATTTCCTCTTGACTCTTCTTGATAGATTGTATGTCCTTTTTCATGCTGATAATAGTTTGCAGTAAGTTCCTCGTAGTTTCCCTGTAGTTTTTTGTAATTCTCTGCACTCACTGAGCTCATTGAGCTTCCTTACAACCATTGTTTTAAACTCAATATCTGATAGTTTACTTGCCCCTATTTCATTTAATTCTCTTTCTGGGGATTCCTCCTTTTTCTTCGACTGGGGAGTTTTCCTTTGTCTTCCCATTATTTGTGAGGCTCTTCTCTTTTACTTCTGCTTCTTCAGTTGATCTGTCTTGATTTTCTGACTTTATGGTGTGAACTTCTATGGTAGGAGACTACTGTTTTTTTCTTTCTGGATCTGCTTCTGATGATGTCAGATGTTGACCCTGTCTGACCTTAGGCAGTCTGTTTGAGACTTTCAGAAATCTACTGTCTGTGGCTGTCTCCTTCAGCTGTTAGTCTAGTCACTCTACACTAAGCAGGCTGGCTTAGAGACACCACAGGGCAGGGCAGAGTCCCTCCTGGGGGCAGGGTTATTGGGTCCTGCCACACTGCTGCTCAGGGTAATAGGCTGCCTGAGCCATATGGCTGCTGCTGAATGGGGGAGGAGTCAGCACCAGGATCCTGCCAGCTACTCTCTCCATTCTCTCCCCAAAGCCTCTGTCTCCAGCCTCTCCCCAAGTGTCTCTAGACCACTCTACGCCTGCTTTAGCCAGGGATCTGCTATCTGTGGCTACCACTCTGCACTCAGAAGGCCAGCTTAGAGACACCATAGGGCAGGGTCAAAGCCCTCCTGGAAGTGGGGCTGTTGTTTCCTTTCACACTGCTGCCACTCAGGGGAGTGGTGTGCCCGAGCAAGATGGCTGCTGCTGCCTGGGGGATGAGTCAGCACTGGGATCCTGCCAGCTACTCTCTCCGTTCTCTCCCCAAAGCCTCCTGCCCCAGTCTCTCTCCAGGCATCTCTAGCCCACTCTGCGCCCGCCTTTGCCAAAGACCAGGGTAAGTAGCTGCAAATAAAAATTTATGCATTGACCCTTTAAAAGGCTCTTTGCGTCTCCAGCCGCCTGTCTCTGGCAGAGAGCAACTCTGCCGCTTTTCGCAGCTGGCTGTTTTCTGTGTACTTTTTGGGATCTGGTTCTGTGGGCTGAAGATCCCCGCTTTTGGTTTTAGACCCCGCTCTTCTCAGCAGTATCCAACTGACCATTTCAATATCCCTCTCGTGCTGCCACCTGTGGGTGCCCGCCCACCTTCTCTAGTCTGTACTTCACTCCTTACCAGTTAGGTTGTGCTAAAGCTGATTCTTCTGTCTGTCCGAAGATATAAGGCTTCTCTCTTGCTACTGTTCAATTGCTCGTTCCAGGTGGTTTCTCTACAATTTAGTTGCAATTCCAGGTTGGTTCTGGGAGGAGGTCAGTGTGACTTCCCCTCACTCCTCTGCCATCTTGATTCTCTGAAGAACTTTCTTTAGCCTATTGAAAGGTAAATCTGCTAGCAACAAAATCTTTGAAAATATTTTTAATTATTTTGTATTTTTTTAAATATATAATCTTTATTCTATTTTTTCTATTACCCTTTAGTCCCCTTATACTCCCCTCTTCTAACGCAATCACCATACTGTTGTCCATGTCCATGAGTCCTTTTTTCTTTTTGTTCGATCCCTCCACCCCCTCACCTCCCACCTCAACTAGCTGTCATCTGTCCTCCATCTATGAGTCTGTCTCTGCTTTGCTTGTTAGTTCAGTGTTTATTTCATTCCTGAAGAATTGTTAAACCAGATACAGACTTCATGGTTGGCAGGTCCTTTAGCACTTGGACATGACTGAGCCTCTTCCTTCTTCCGTTCATGGTTTCAGATGAGAAACTCACTGTTGTTCAAATAGGTGTCCCTCAGTAATGTTTCTAGGTACCATTTCATTTCTCTCTGGCTGCTTTCGAGATTTTTTCTTTATCTTTAGTTTTCAGGAGTTACCTATGATGTGTCTTGGCATGGATGTTTGGAGTTTATCCCGTTTGGAGTTTGTTGAGTGTGTTGGGGTGAGCAAGATCACCCCTAGGTTCAGTAGTTTGCTAGGAGGACTCACAAGATTCAGCATATTGTTGTACTCATGGCTGTGATTTATTATTACAAACAGATATAAAGCAAAATTAGCAAAGGGAAAAGGCACATGGAGCAAAGTCTGGAGGAAACCAGGTGCAAACTTTGCAAACTTCCAAGAGTCCTCCCTTGGTGGAATCACACAGGATCCTAAGAGGTTGTAACAACCACTTAGACAACATTTTTCCACCAGAAAAGCCTCCTAAACCTAGGACTCCAGGATTTTTATCAGGTGACAGTCATGTAGGTACCCTCTGCTTAGCATACGCATATACCAAGACTCCACACTCCCAGAAAGCAAGCACATTCCTCCGGGCTCCTGCCCAGTAGCTGTGGGCAGCTTGTCTCTGCACCGCAAATCCAAAATGCTTTATTATTTGTTCCTATAAAGGGGTATGTTTTTAGCTTCACGTTCTTTCCCACTGATCCATCGATTCTGTCATTTAATAATGACATAAATGATGTGATTGGGGTCAGGTACCATATGATCTCACTCATATGTGGAATCTGAAAAGCACAATAAACAAACAAAACATACACTCATAGATACAGAGAACATTTTCGTGGTTGCCAGATGGGAGGGTGGTTGGGGGATGGGCAGAAAAGGGAAAGGAATGAAGGTGTACAAACTGCCAGTTATAAAAGTCATGGGGATGTAGAGTACAGCATAGGGAATACAGTCCAAATTCCTGTACCAACTATATGTGGCGTCAGAGGGGTATTAGACTTGCTGCAGCGATGACTGCGTAAGTTATGTGCATAATTAATCACTGTATTTTACACCTGAAATGAATATGATATTGTATGTCAACTGTCATTGAAAATGGTTAAAAATTATTTTAAAAAGCAGGTGGTTTGTAATATTTTGTTGGACTTTTCTATTGTCCTCAGTGGTGAGTGAGCCTCAGTCCTGCCAATACAGGAACAGAAGCTCCTTCACTGCTCTTCACATTAAGAGTACAATTTTCATTTTAGATGCTCTATTTAGTTCTGTTTCAAATATATCTATTCTTTCCTCATAGTTTAAGTTTCTTGTTTAATGTATGTGTGCACACGCACACACAGCATTCTATTAGCCTTAGTTCTTATTGATCTAAGTTTGCTATTGTATCTGCTAACTAACTGTCGCTCATGGTAGATTGTCCCCTCGTGCATTTTATAACTTTGAAGTGTGAAGTTATCTTCAGAAGGATGCCTCTGTGCAGCCTGAATTGAGGGCATACCACACTAAAGCAACGTTGTGTTTGCTTCTATGAATCATTTGCTTCAATGATATCACCATCCTGAGACCAGTATTTATATTACTTTTTTCTGTAGGTTGAAAATCAGTGAATACCAAACCCCTGTGAGGCCCAAGATTTTGGTGTCACATCCTCATGGAAGACTTGACCCATGCAGAGCCAAGGCTGAGAGAAGCTCCCTTGGCGTCTCCCAGTGCTAGCAAGGAGGTTTTTTATCTGGACTATTATTTCCCAACAGTATCCCGCCTCAGAATCCTGGCTTCATCCAGGGTCTTGGTTTTAGTTGTCTTTAGTTACCTGCCAGTCCTCAACTTCTGTTCTTATCTGGATGGACCACCGCTGTCCGCTCCGCCCCTGCCACCCGCCTGGGGCAGCTCACACATTTACCACTCTGATTTTCAGTTTTCTCTTTGTTTTTGGACCCCAGAGATTAAGTTCATTTTCTTGAAGGCACGATGGAGCTTTTAAAAGGATGTTTATTATATGTTAATCAGCATTTCTAGGTATTTGAGGTGGGAAGGCTTTCAGGTTATTCAATCTACTCTTGCTAGAAATAGGAATTAAATTTTTTTCTATCAATCACCACTATCATGGTAATGCTATAAGACAGGTCTATTTTATGTACATAAATGGGCAGACTTGCCCTACTGTACAAGGTTTGAACAATAAATATTATTTCCCCTCTTCCTTGTTTCCCCAAGAAACATCCAGAGAGCACCCTAAAGGCCGGCCTGCCTGTGTCCACTTCAGCCCCAGTGAAGGCACGGATGGGAACAGGTGTGCAGGAGCCGCCTCTGTTGAGAAGCCCAGAGGGGAGACGGTTGGCGAGCAGCGGTGTGACAAGGGGAAGGGCTTCTCGAAACATCCCGCCTGCATCAGGGTGGCCGGGCCTGAGGAGAAAGGAGAGGACCCCGGCTGGGCAGCTGCAGGCCTTCCGCAGCAGGATGGCCCCCGGAGGCCCAGCAGACGGCCCGACGCAGTGCCCAAGGCCAAGTGCGCCTCCCAGAAAAGGCGCGTTCAAGAGCTCAGAGGAGGAAGGTGCTCCCCAGCCGGTTCTAGCCGGCCTGGCAGTGCCAAGGGGGAGGCGGTCCATGCTGGGCCAAATCCTCTCCACCATCGGACACCAAGAAACAAAGTGACACAGGACAAGGCTGAAGGAGAGAGCCTCTCAGATTTGTCACAGAGGACAGAGGTGCTAAGGTCAGGAGTCAGGAAGTTGGGAATTTCCACCCTGTCTGAGGATGCTCAGATATCTAAGGAGGCTAACCCAGCTCCTGGTCCCCTCTCTGGGCAGAGCGTGAATATCGACCTTCTTCCTGTGGAGCTGCGCCTGCAGATAATCCAGAGAGAAAGAAGCAGGAAAGAGCTATTTCGCAAAAAGAACAAGGCAGCAGCAGTCATCCAGCGGGCCTGGAGAAGGTGAGGAGTTGGGGTGCCACACCCCTAACATGACACCCCTTGCGCTCTCCGATGCTTTCTAGTGAATTCCATGTGCCTGCATGACAAAGCCAATTTAATTGAACTTTCCCATGAAATTCGCACAAGTGTAGATCCTAGTAATGTATGCTGGATAAGCTACTTAGAAGGCTCTTTTGCCAATAAAGATGGGAAAACACCCAGGATTGCTTGGTGTAAAGAAAAGAGCCCTCAGTGTGTAAACAGGAAGCCGGAGTTTCAGGTGAAGCTCTAACAGGTCATCTGACCTTGGGCAAATCCCCTGGCCTCCCTGACCCTCAGTTTCTTCATCTAGAAAGTGGGACTTAATAATGGCTGTCTTGTCTGCACCTGTCTTGTCTATAGGAAAGGCTGTGGAATGAGACAATGTGTGCTTCATAAATTCCAAAGCCCTACACACATAAGCTATTTTATTTTTCTTCTTTACTATCCAGGAATTAGTCATCCCCCAGATACCTAAACCAGGGTCTGGATATAGTGGATTGAGTGACTGAAATTTATTACAAAAACCTGTGTCAGCATCGCTTCAGCTCAAGATGCAGGGTAGGCGCTGGGAGGAGAGGTGGAGGTGTCCTGAGATGCTGAGCCAGATACTTCCAGGGGGCACTTACGGGGCGGGGGGCATCCTTTGCTGTGAGTGTTACGTATCCCATGCCCCGCTTCACACCACAGGCCCCACTACAGTGCTGGCCAGTGCCCCGGGGAGGCAGGGGTGCTACACCAACTCCAGCAGGTGGGGGCCACGTGGCCGCCATCTCCCGAGAGAGGAAAGCTGATGGGGGAACAAAGCAAGCCAGTCACTGTGAGCACAGGTGTGCCACATATCAACGCCCCTGTCAAGAGATAAAAGGGCCAGAGAGCGCCTAACGTTGGCAGAGGAAAGGGGGTGGGGGGTGCACGGAGGGAGTAAGAGAGCGAGCGTGGTTCTCGTGAGGTCCAGGCAGGGAGAGGCCTCAGGCTCTGTTGTGCCAAAGACGGCCCAGCCCAGAGCCCTTGCATGCACAGTCTAGTGCGTCCTCGACATCTGTCCGAGCTCTTGGCCGTTGACAAGGTCCTTTCATACCTTTGCTCTCCCCGCCGCACCAGGCAGCTGTCATGATAGGGATGGGGGGTCCCCCTTTTTCAGATGAGCATGTGGTTTCAGGGAAGACAGATGCCTTGTCGTAGTGGTGCAGAGCTATCCCCGGAAGCTGTGTCTGACTCAGGTCCAAGGGCCTTTCCCCACATTCCCAGTCAAGGTAGTGTTTGCTGTGGTCAGGATAACAGAGGCAGCGGCAGGCCTGGAGCTCTTCACCGCAGAGCAGGCTGGAGGGGGAGGGCTGCCTGGACGACACTCCCACTCAGCAAGGTGACGTTGTTGTTACTGTTAATGCTAGTAGTTAGCACTCACAGGGCACTCGTGCCAGACGCTGCACTCGGTAGATTTACATGTAGAATTAACCCTCGTCTAACCCTCACGGTAACCCTGAGAGCTAGTTCCTCCTCTTGCCCCCATTCCCCAGAAGAGGAGGTTCATCCACCCAGCAAGTCACCGAACTAGTAAGAGCCAGCACTGGTGCTGAGCTGAGACAGCCCGCATCTGAAGCCACACGTGGGATTGGTCCTTGCTCCCCCACCCCGGGGAGTTCTGCCAGGACGTGCACTGGCTACCGTCCCAGAAGAGCTTTTGATTAGGTATTTCAGCCGAAACCTGGGATCTAAGCAAGCCAGTGAGCCTCACCACGTCAGGCCCCACAGCTGCTCCCCCGCTGAAATGCCTTCCCATCAGAGTGTTCTTTGACTTCTTTGAAGAGCCAGGAGCTGACAGGTGCTGTCAGTAAGTGTCCATAGCAGCAAATGAGCTTTCAGTCATTGCCCCCAAGAACAGTGGGCTCATAGTCAGTGTGCCCACCTGGGGAGGCAATCACTCAGGCCCCCTCTGGCTGCTTCCTTGTTCAGTTCTGAGACCTGGGACACCAACTCCCAAAGGGCTTCTGGGAAGCTGCACCTTGTGGGAAGTCGTAATGTCTGGTGACAGTAAAAATACTTTTATTGATTCTCTGTAACCTCATACATCTTCCATATTAAGCACAGGAGCCCGAAGTGCTGTCCTGGGCCGGGGTGTGGTGTCTGAGGCCAGACCTGAGGAGCACGGAGGGGTGGGCTCAGGGACAGGGCTGGCCTGGCCCTGCCCCGTGGGCGCAGGCCGCTGTTGCAGGGGACACGCCGAGGAGGGCAGAAAGGCCGACTGGAAGGTGTGTGGGGATGGGGGGAGCAGGCTGACCCTCAGGAGCAGGAAGTGAAGCTTAGTCCTAAAGCGTGAGTTTTATTGCCAATCAGGACTTGACTGTTTTAAAGGTTGAAACCAGATACTGGATAAGCCAGCTGGGCTGGAAAGTTGCTGTGGCTAAGAGCAGTCGCTGTGTAGAGCAGTTCCTTCTTACCAACACGTGGAAGCCACCTTCCTGTCAGTGCTGCTCCCCCCCGCCCCCGCCCCGTGTGCAGAGGTGCACTACAAGGACAGACGGGGCCGCGAGAGCCCAGAGCCCAAAGGACGAGTGGGCGTGTTAGGTTTTGAAACACACCGGGAGTGCAGGGTCTCCTTGAGAATGGGGACCCCTAGGACCACCAGACACAGACCCTCCGTCTCGGTACCGGAATAGGTTCGGTGGCGGCAGTGCCCTCTGAGAGCCAGAGCTGTTGCAGCTTCAGCCAACACCTGGGCCTCCCAACGAGGTCTCCGCCCAGAGAGCAGACTGGGCGGAGGACACAGCATCTGAAACAGAAACGGAACTGTGGAGCAGCGCTGCCCCATAACTCCAGCTTTCCTCTGCAGTCAGCTTTCTGGAAGCGTAGCTCATCTTCTAGTAGAGGGATGGCACGGTTTGTCACTCCAGGTAAAGAAAGGAAGAATCTTGTAGTTTGCCTGAAATCAGCCTTTTAGGGCAGGAGGGAAGGGCTGCACCAGGCGCCTCCAGGAGCTTTTAGCAGATGGAGGAGTTATCCCGCATTTGGTGTAACGTAAAGCCGGGCTTGGGGCCCGCTGCCCTCGGCAGCACCTGTGGGCGCACCTGGAGCAGTTAACCAGCTACAATAATGACGGCGGGGGCAGCGTTCCTTGTGCGGATCCGCAACAGCTGTGTTCAGTAACAAGTTCGGGAGTGCATGTGGGATGAGCGCCATCATATAAACACCGGGCGTGTAAGTATAGCCATCACCCACATGCGCCTGGCCTGTCCCGCCCCAGGCACCACTCTTCAGCAGAATGATCTTAATAAAATTACAGCTCTTACCTTTACAACTTTTTTTTTCAATCCTTGCCCAAGAACATACTTACTGATTTTAGAGAGAGAGGAAGGGAGAGGGAGAGCGAGAAACATCGATCAGTTGCCTCCTGTATGGCCCCAACCAGGGATCAAACCTGCTACCTGGTTATGTGCCCTGACCCTCAGCCTTTTGGTATATGGGATGATGTTCTAACCAACTGAGCCACCCCGACAAGGCACCGTTGCCACTATCCTTAAGAACCAATACGGATGCCCACCAAGAACAGAGTACAGAGCAATGTCCTTAGCCACGTTTGGCTGTTGCTGGACCAGGCAGCACTGACTGTGAATGTTGGTCTCTCCTGACTCTAGCTGCTTGGCCTTCTTCAAGTTTCTCAGCCTTTCTCACCCCAGTGTTACGGAGACATAGTTGACATACTGTTCTTGTTCTTGTTTTTGTTTTTTTTAACACCACTTCACATGTAAGTGAGATATATATTATTTGTCTTTGTCTTTGGTTTATTTCACTTAGCATAATGCCCTTAAGTTTCATCCATGTTGTCACAAATGGCAGGATTTCCTTTTTTATAGCTGAATAATGTTCCATTGTCTATAACACAATTTTTTCCTCTATTCATGTGTTGGTGGACACTTTGGTTATTTCCATCACATCGCTATTGTGTTGTTGCTTTGAACTTGGAGGTGTAGCTATCTCTTCAACATACCGTTTTAATTTCTTCAGTTATATACCCAGACATGGAAATGTTGGAACATATGGTAGTTCTATTTTTAATTTTTTGAGGAACCTCTATACTGATTTCTATCGTAATTGCACCAATTTACAATCCCACCAACAGTGAACAGAGGTTCCCTTTTCTCCACATCCTCCCCAGCATTTGTCATCTCTTATCTTTTTAATGACCATATGTTCACAGGCATGAACTGGTATCTCACAGTTTTGATTTGCATTTTCCTGATGACTAATAATGTTGAGCTTATTTTTGTATACCTGTTGTCCATTTATAGATCATCGTTGGGAAAATGTCTATTCAGCCCTGGCCAGTGTGTCTCAGTTGGTTGGAGTGTCATCCTGTAACTGAAAGGTTTTGGGTTCGAGTCTCAGTCAGGGCACATACCTGGGTTGCAATTTCAGTTCCTGGTCTGGGTTGGTACAGGTTCCAGCTGATCAATGTTTATCTCTTTCCCTTCCTCTCTAAAAGATATGAAAAAAATGTCCTCAGGTGAGGATAAAAAAAAAAATTTGCCCTGGCTGGTGTGGCTCAGTGGATTGACCACTGGCCTGTGAACCAAAAGGTCACTTGTTCGATTCCTGGTCAGGGCACACGCCTGAGTTTTGGGCCAGGTCCCCATATGGGGGCATGTGAGAGGCAACCAATTATTTCTCTTGCACATCAGTTACTCTCTCTCTCCCCCTCCTTTCCCCTCTTTCTAAAAATAAATAAAATCTTAAAAAAATGTCTATTCAGGTTCTTTGCCCATTTTTTCATTGGATTATTTGTCATATGTTTTAGATATTAACACCTTATCAAATGTGTGGTTTGCAAATATTTTTTCCCATTCCATAGGCTGCCTTTTCACTTCGTTTACTGTTTCTTTTGCTGTGCAGAAGCATTGTAGTTTGATGGAGTCCCGCTTGTTTATTTTTAATTTTGTTGTTTGTGCTTTAGGTTTCATACCCAAAAAATCATTTTTAAGACC